CATCAATGCCTGTCATAGTATATTTAGCGGGCTATTGTGCTCAAGCAGCACTAAAGCATACTACTTGTACTATGTGCAGGGATCTTTTGGTTCGAGATAAAGAAATGGATTGTGTAACTGAATTCAACCTCATCAAAATTTGTGATCGAGGTGGGTTACTATATCCGACAGAGTTTGTGATAAATGCAGTGCTTCACTCATACATTGTTGTACAAAAATTGGTTAGTTCTGATTATGAAGAAAAATTTTTAAAATGTTCTAATCAATGTAATATTTCTCTTAATGTTATTCTCAATGTATTGCAAAATAATGATATGTTGTCTACTACAGGTGTGTGTATTGATGGTCACAACATCGAAAAATTATTAAATTTTATTTTAAAATCTGCTACTAATACTCTGCTAAACAATTATTGTAAAATGAAAGTTGATGACCATAGTAATGAAAAGCAAAAGAAAAAATTAAAAGCTGCTACTCTAAAAGAAAACAAAAAACAAATTCGGAAAATTAAAACTTTAACCTAAACCTAATTAAAACTTTAACCTAAACCTAATTAAAGCTTTAACCTAACCTAAACCTAATTAAAACTTTAGCCTAACCTAAACCTAATTAACACTTAAACCTAATAAACCTTAACCTAACCTGTAGTAGACATCATAGCTTTATATAATCCTTGTTATAATCCTTTATTTCATAAAAATGCACATTTATCTATTTTTTATTTAATAATTTATTCTGTTGAAATAGTCCTTTTTTTATTATTGATAATTATTTTGATTATTTTTGCATATTATATATTCAATTTGAATTATTTTCATATTTATTTTGCTAGTATATTTTAAGTTTATTTATTTTATCTTATTCATTTATACAAAATATATTTAAAATTTGTTTTTAACTTTTAACTAAATATATTTTTAAATTTACGAAGATTTATAACAAGGATTATCACTTTTTAATGTTTTTGTAAAGTAGATTGTGTTTCATCACCCCTTTTAAAAATAAGTATTTAATTATTATTGTAAAATGATTGATAAGATGTCTGACATCAACACTTTTAAAAATAAATATTTAAATTCAATGAGGAAATTTTAAACTTTAATTTAATCCAAAATGTGTTTAAACTCTTAAATTTGTATTGTAAGTAATAGTCTTTTTTTCCCCCTTCATAAACTTCTTTTTTACTTTCTAAACTTCATTTTGATTTTATTATCGGGTGATGTAATGCAACTACTTTACATTATTTATATTATATTTTGTGGTACATCTCATCAGAAACTGCAATTTTAGCAGGGTGCGTAGCATTTTTAAAAAGTGCTTAAAGGTACTTCTTTTCCATTTTCTTTTTTTAAAAGCCCTTAAAGGTGCTTTTTTTCATTTGGTGTTTTTAAAAAGTGCTTAATTTTCCCTCTTTTAAAATGAGATTTTTCCTTTACCATGTTGATTTTTGCTACGAATTATGCAAAAAGATACTGTTAACATTGTTTTATACAATGTTCTCATAATTAATACACCCCCAATCTATTTCGCCTTATTGTGAAAAAGCCATTTGTTTTACATGATTCAAAATTCAATGATTTTTGACAATTGTCAAAAACAATGCTAAGGTTTTTTTTTGTTGACATAACGGTTAAAACAAGATAAAACCGTCAATTTTTTAAAGTGCTTAAAAATATTTTTTGAGTGCTTAAAAGGTGTTTATTTTTTGTTGAATAATTTGGCTACGCACCCTGTTTAAGAAACTACAATTTTATTGTACTTGTATATAGTTTGTATTACTGTAAATAGTTTATATTACTTGCATATAGTTCATATTACTTGTATATAGTTCGTATAATGTAATTTTTAAAATGGAATATTCCCCCCCCCCCAATTTGATGGTGTTCCGAATACCTGTATTTGTAACAAAATCGCCAGCCACGGGTCATATTTTATTAAAATGTAAAATGTTTTGTCATGTTCTTTAAAAATTATGGCATTCTTTAAAAAAAAATGAAAGAAAAACATTTTTAGAGCGAATTATCTTTTCAGCTTCTGTGATTTCAGAATTTTTTTTATTATTTTGTTAATTTAAAATTCTAGCTGAAGCAAGCCAGGCATCTACGAATTTTTTTTATTCTGAAATGAGAACAGAAAATTAATAATTTACTGTTGCATGTATATAAAAAATTTTATCAACTAGCAGCATTTTCAGAAAAATTGTTTCATTAAAGATTGTTTCATGGTAAAATACAATATGTAAAAAAATATTTTTAATTACCCATGACATTTTTTTACCAAATGTTTGTTTGCATTTTGGATTTGGAGTTATGTTTTGAAATAAAATGTAGTACTATATAATTGCCAACTGTTGTACAATTATTAGTAATTTATTGTTTTACTTTTGCATGTATATTTACTATTTTATCAACGGGCAGCATTTTGTTTCATCAACATGAATGGTAAAATACACAGGGTATCCATGCACCTTGGAAAGTCATGAATTTCAGTATTGAGCATAATTTGTCATGAAGCGTCATAATTTTAACAGTTTTTCTTTCAAAAATTATTGAATTTTCAAAATGGATCTCTAATTTCATGGTGTTACAAATATCTGAATTTGTAACAAAATCCCAACTCACATTCATGTTTTATTAAAATATAAAATGTTTTTATCCTGTTCTTTAAAAATTATGGTGTTCTTTCAAAAAATGAATGAAGTAACATTTCTAGAGCAAATTATCTTTTTAACTTCTGAGATTTCAGAATTTTTTTATGATATTTTTATTTTATAAATTTAAAATTCTAGCTGAATCAAACCAGTCATTGGCAAATATTTTTTATTCCAAAATGAGAACAGAAAATTCTGCAAAAAAGAAAATAAATTATTTGCTTTTGTATTTTTTTCAGCCATTTTATTGTTTCAACTATTTTCCGTTTTTTAAATTTAAAATCTATAAATATGATGATGCAGACTGTTTTGGTTATACTATTATTTCAATTAAGTTTATAATGCTTTTTAAATTTATTATTCTGTTTTTTAAATTTATTGTTCTGTTTTTTAAATCTATTGTTCTGTTTTTTAAATTTATTGTTCTCTTTATTTGTTTTTGTATACATATTTTCTCATTGATTTAAATAAAGCTTTTGTTCTATATATACATGTTTGTCATTATTAAAGCATACTTATACTTTAAGATAAAATTAATCTTCATTTACTTAATTGCCTCATTCGTAAAGTTCTAATCTATATCATTAAAGTAATGATTCAGCTTATTTAATAAGTCACATTAAATTATTTTTATCACATGTATGCAAAACAAAAGTAATTAGACGAGAATTAGAAAGAATTTGTTAGTTTACTGCAGTAAATCAAAAAAATTCTGTATAATTATATAAATTTGCTATAAATATTTCAAAGGTTTATAAAGGATAACCATTTTTATGCTTTTTTTTATAGAATTTTACGTTAAGTGTTCTTTCCAATAATATTTTGTTTCCATGAATGTTATGTTAAGTACTAATTTTCAATTCTGAGGAAAATATTTTTATTTTTAATCAATTTTATTTATTTAATATGATTGATTACTCTTAAAATAGTTTAAAATTTATCTGTAAAAAAAGGTTTGGATAAATCTTATGAAAATAACAACAAAAAAAACATCTTTAAAAACTAATCTGAAATTTCTTACTGCGTTAATTTACTTATTCTTTATGATTTTTTTCTTCCTTTGGTTCATTTTAAATTTATTATTTTAAGGCAAAGGTTATGTTTACACAATTATTCAGATCATAAAAAATTTGGATTCTTACTTTTAGCTTTAAAAAATGAAAGAAAAAACAATCGAATAAGGAGTCGACTATCTTAATTTCTTCACAACCACCTCTGATCTCTCTGAAGGGAGAAAACAGCTACGCTCTTTTCTACCTTCTGATCGTGACGTCACAAACAAGCTCCTCGGCCTTCTATTCTAGGTGGTTATGGTCTGAGTGCGCAGCCGTTGAGAGAGGGAGAATTGCACTTCCC